AGAAAATATATTTAACCTTAGAAATCCCAAATGTCTGACCCAAAAAGAAATAATATTTTTTTCATTAACAATATATTACGATAACCTTATATTGTATAACAGTTAAAATTGGAAAAGGTCTTGAGTCTTAATATTTTAAAACATTTCGATATAAATTTTTATCTTGCAACGTCTTATCTCTATCATTTTTTTTTTTTTAAATTTTATTTATTTTTAAATACATAGTTTCACTTTCCTGTCAGACATAGGCTCAAAAAATGTGATTAATTAAGTTTTCGATAAGTTTTTATTGAAACAATTGTCATAATTTGCTCATGACTTGAGACTATTTTTCTTCTGCTGGTATCTGTTGTAATTTATTTCCTGACAAAATGAAATGTAACACCTTGAATGTCTTACTGTGGGTGGATGGCGTAGGGTGAAAAATTGGTCGATTGTCCATGAAGATATATATTTTTTAAGACAATACGTTACCGCGATATATCAGATACAGAACCGGTTGTGAATGAATTGCTGTTTCAATAGGTATTCTATTTGTGGCGATGAGCAGAGCTCTTTCAGATAGTGTTGGAGGGCTCTTTTTCATATTTCCGAAAATAATTTAAATCCTCATTGTTAGTTTACTGGTTAAGATTAAGTTTACTAGTTACGAAAACGTCTTATCGCAAAGTTTATATATAGTATATCGCAATATCTTTTGACAAAAAGAAAAAATTGAGATGTTGAAAAATGAAGTATTGTAAATTTAAATAATAATTGGATTTACTCGATTCCTTTTTACTGCGGAATTTTTAAATGAAATTAATTAAAATAAAAGTGACCTCTAACAACGGCTTAGAAGAAACGTACCTAGATACTTTTCCTATTTTACTCTTAGACTGGTTTGCGTTTTAAGTATCACAATGCTATTGTTAAAAATGGTGAATGAAGTTAATAATAGCATTCTGGCGCGATTTGTCTGGCTAGATTACGATTTGTCAGACTAGAAAATGATATAAATGAATACGGCCGATACGATGTTAAACTCATTTTCTACATATGTTTCTAAGATAATGGTGAATTGAAGTTAATAATAGCATTCATTTGCGGATTCTTGCATTTATTTAACGATTTGTCTGACTAGAAACTGATATAAATGAATATAATCGGTACGATGTTGGACTCATTTGCAATTTTATTTATTATTGATTTCTACTTTAGATTTTTTACTCGTTTTTTTTTCTTCTTTTTCTTTGTCATTAGGGGGTATTTATAAGGTCCGATTAATGAATAATGAGCGTCATTGGTGTCCAATTTTTGAGGGGGACGAAATTAAAATAAACAGTCATAAAATTCTCTAAATTTCATCAATATGGAAAAAAATTAATCTTACATCTGCGAAAAGATTATTATTTTTTATTTATTTATATGTTTCTTGTTTTTAACTTTGTTGAACTTAATAAGAATCCCCGCTAACGACGCCCATGAAATCTTGGAATATTAAAAAATTAGTTTTAAGTTCTTTGTGCCCTGCTCTTGGCAGAAGATTTCGATCTTAATTATTAATCGATCGATCTTTATTATTATTTTATTTTACTGATGTATTCTTAAGCGCATATTTTATCAAAATATCGATAATAAAAAATAAATTTTCATGTCCCTTTCTTTTTAAATTGTATTAATTCAAAGCGAAGCTTTTTACTTCGTATTAAATCCCCCCCCCCTCAAATATTGCAGCTCTTCCAACTACTGCGCTTTCTACAAAATATTTTATAGAGTGGTAAACATTTAAAAGACAAAATTTTCGTTATTTTGGGTAATTTTGCTAAGATTTTAAAAGCTTCATCACGAAATAGCAGGAACAAAGTGGCGTTGTATATGAATTTTTAAATCATTAATATGCAGTGGTGTGAAAATTAAGTTCAAATTAATAAAAAATACATTAATATATAAACATAGGTACCACTATATTCATTCTATAGAATAAATTTTTACAAAGATTGTAGAAAGCTGTCAGCCTTGCTTCTGTATGAAAAGAAATTTTTTTTTTTTTTTGAAAATTTTAATCTTTTGAAAATTGTTATTTACAACCATAAGAATTGTATTTTGTTTTATTAAACAAAGCTTAGACCAATTATCTGCCTTTCGCTCGATCCGTTTTAATTTTCAAGATTGATTTGAGTGTAACTTCGTAAATACGTTATCACTTAACGGCAGGCGTCTGTCTTACGTTTTAAAACACTCTAATTATCACATTGTCGAAGACCGTTAAGTGTTTTCTTCTTAATGACGTTTTATATTGTGTCGGAAGTTGGCGAACATCACTTTTTTATTTTGGAAATCTGCCAAAGGCACTGCTGGTGAGTAAGGAGGTAAAGAAATTTTATTTTCTTTAAAGTTTTCACTTGACTTGGAACTTAATGTTATTTAAATCTGAGTAAACGGATCGCCGATTTCTATTGAACTAAGTCAGTGAAAGTGGTCTTTCTTGTTAAAGATTTATTATTATTTTTATTTTTCGAAATTTATATATTTTACGTATTTTTTTTCCTTATGTATTTATCAGCTCTTGAGGAGTCACAAAGGAGTTTGAGGATTTAAAGTAATTTTAGTTTAGCGCCATTTACAAGGGAGCCGGAAGTTTAAACTTTTGAAAAGAGGGAAAATAATTCGATTTATGGAATTTGAAATTTATCAAATCAGACTTTTGCTGAATAATACTTTTTTAAAAAACTTGAAATTAGAATTTAACTTCGACTTTTTATCTCGTTAAACGGAGTTATATATCGCGTCTGCATAGATTAATAAAAAAAAAAGTTATGAGTCGTTTTAAAAATATTTAAATAGGATTGCTCGGAAATATTTTTTTTTTATACAATCATTAAAGAAATTATAATTTTATAAGGAACCGTATTTGGTAACTTATGAAAAAAGTCCGATAGGAATATCTTGAAAATTTAAAAAGTTTCTAACAATTTTCTAAATGCGTTTTGTACATTTTGTAAGAAAGCTTTAAATGATAAGTTCTTTTCTACAAATTTCTTTTTGTATCATAACACAAAATTTAATAACAAATGATAATACCTTAAAATAATCGTCTGTACACCGAAATGTGATTTATAAAGAAAAAAAAATGTGAAAAAAGCACACTTTTATGTGGGATGATCCCCCACAATGCCGCGGTGATTTTTAATAAATCTTATTTAATAGTACAAAATAGAATTTATGGAAAACCCATAGTCATTCAGCGGTTTCTTTGAAAAGTATAAAAAAGTGGAACATTGCTGAAAACTTTTTTAAGACATTCAAATCGGGAACTTTTTTCATTCGTTTTTAAATATGATTCTCTACGAAATTCTGTGTAAAAAATTTTTTTTTGAACTGCGCATTATGAAGGAACTGCTTCTTTAAATGCTCTTATCTTGCACAATATTTAACGATTTTTTTTAAAGTTTAATAATTTTGCTATTTATATATATATATAACATATATCACTCTTAAATAATTGAAAGCTTTAAAACGACTATGATGTATATGAAAACGAGTATATAAGTAAGAAAAATTACATTAACACCTTGAAAGTTATAAAATAATCCTCTAGGTATTTTTTCAGAACTTTTAAAAAATGTCAAAAACTATAAATGTTTCTTCCATTGTAAGGTAATGCACATCCAGATTGATTTTCTCTTTTATGTATAGAGTAAACATAGACTTAATTAAGGTACTACGTTGATCGCTGTATAATTTTTGAAAAAAAATTTTATTGAATAGAAGAGCTTGGTTTTACTAATTTGCTCTATCAAATGATTAATTCCTTATGTTTGGTTTTTAATACTGCTACTGAAACTTAGGGCTTTTATATCTATTTTTAAGTGAATGATATATCTGACAACATCGACCACTTTTCACTTGCAAAATTTAATAGGTGGCGTGGAAAACCAAAAAGGGTCTTCCGATTGATGACTGCGATTGTGAAGTTGAACTTAATTAAATACTCTATTGAGTTTTTTCTAATTGTTGAATACTTTGCTGAAGCAAAATATTTCATGAAGAACAAAATAGTATAATTTTTAGATATGAGAAATTTAAATTTTTCAATCATAACAATTTAAATATTCATTGGATTTAAGAAAAAAAATTGTTTTTTTGGAAACAGTAAATTTTTTACCGTAGATAATATACACTTACCTTACATAAATAAAGATTTAAGTATGAGATTTTTTTTTCTTTTGAAATTAATCATCGTTTCTTGGAAACAGTAAATTTTTTACCGTAGAAAAATATACACTTACTTTACATAAAGATTTAAGCATGGAGATTTTTTTTTCTTTTGAAATCACGGTATCTTTTTTTCCCTGCTATTATCAATAGCCTCTTTTAGGTCCTGCAGTGGACTGATTGTAAAGACACTGTTTCCAGTAGAACACCGAAGTAAAGCTTCACTGGCTGCAGTCAGTAAGCGGGTGGGTGACCACTTTGATCAGCCTATGTAAGGATCGAGGGTGTGCGGCATCAGTCCTCGTTAAACTATTCTACCATAAAGTGCTAAGCTTTTCGCGCAGGTCGTCGGTCTACCAAAGCGGAGGAGTCATCTCCTCTGTAGAGGATCGAAATTGTGATGGCATGTCTTCGGATCATCCTAAGGGATGCTTCCCAGACCGTCGCCAATAGCCCATTGTGAGCTCTAGTGTCACTTAAATAAAATTCCTACCTACCCTTCTTTCAGGGGCATGTAACATCATCTCAAGTCGAGTTTTCTTCTCACTGAGTTTAGCTTCTCACTGAGACAAATCACTTTCTGAATAATACATATTTTTACAATGTATTGCTCTTGAATTATTTTTCAGTATAAAATTAATTAATAATATTTTTTTTTTTGCTTTCAAAGGATGATGCTTTGGTGAGTAAAACTGCTTAAATATTGATGATAGTTTAGAAAATGAAATAGTCTATTTTGTTATAAATAATATTTTAATTAGAAACTAAAGCATAAGTTATAAAAAAATATTTTTCTGTTGCAGAAAATTTCTGGGGCAGTCAACTGCTGAGAAAGCATCCAACTTAGAATCTTGTGAAAATTATTTTCATTCGTCCCTGAAACAGTTTGCTTACAAGTCTGCTAAAACCTATTCTATTTTGAAAGAGAGCATTTACAATCATTTAGATGTAAGTTAAATATCATTTTCCCCCCTCTTAGTGGATTATTATAATTTAATCAAAACTTTTAAAGTTTTGAAAGTATTTATTTTTACCCAAAGAATCCATTTTTCTTGTATAGTACTTTTTTATTGTCCTTTTTGTGTACAGCTTTATGCTGACCAGTCTGTATGGTAGTCAGAAAGATCTCAGGTTTGAATCCCGCTTCAGGCATGGATGTGATTTCTCTCCCTCTGTCCTGTCTTTCTTATGTTGTTTGGTGACACTGTTCCACCTATATGGTGTCCATGAAAAAGAGTTCAACAATATCGCCTAAGTACCACAATGGTTACCAATATAATTGCCAAATGTGGTGGTCATTGAGGAAAAAAAAGGAAAGCTTATAATTTTATTGAGGATCTTCCTGCTTTGATGTTTTTCAGTACCTTTGACGCCTATTTTAAGAATTGTTACTTTCAATACAAATGACTGCCATTTAAAGCATATTTTAGCACTTGCTGTAGCCTATTTAATGAATGCAAATTTCTGACACAAACAATACAGTTAAAATCTTGTAGATATCTACTACCATTTGGGCCATATCTCTGGGAAATGGGAAACCATACAGAATACAGTTTCTGATATACTGCTTCTGGCCTGCACCATTTACAGTATTTGGGAACAAAATATTTTTAATTGTAGATTGATTATAGTTAATAACTTTGTTTACCATGGAAACTTTTGCTATTTACGTAACGGAAAAGCAGGATAGATGTTTTTTTTTCTTTCGAAAGTTGTTAACTGATATGAATTTATTTGTTTTTTGTATTGTATTTGTTCCCTTGTCATTTGAGTTTGATTCGAAAGTGCAAGTTTATGGATTTGAATATCAAGAATAAATATGATTCATAAATTGGTTGTGTGACTCTAAAAGTGTTTCTTTTTTATTTACCAATATTCCATTCTGTCATCCCATTCTGTAGTTAACAATGTTGTGTAATCTGTAATTTTAAACTTCTTCATAAGACAGTTGGATATATGACATCTGCCTTCTGAGGTACAATAAATGGGGGGATAAAAAAACACTTTCTGAGTAAAGTTTTAAGGTTTAAACCTAATAATTAAGTTTTCATGTATTAAAAAGCAATTTTAGTAGTTTGATATTAATAAATAATGATACAAATTAATAAGGGTCAAAGAAAAAGTTAAAAAATCTAACATTAGAAATTTTTTTTCTTTAATTTTCTTTTTTTTTTTTTCATACTATAAGATTTTTGTCCCTCAAATCTGGTAAATAGCTGGATTATTATAACTTTTATCTTTTCACTACTAAATATATTTAAATATATTTTACAGTATGAAAATTTATCTTTTACTGTAAGGAAATTAAATATTTCATTTTGTAATTTAAAATTACATACTACTGAAAACAGTTTTTTTACTTTTAAAAAGCATCCTTAAATATTAAAGGAAGATAATTTAGTATTTATTTGTTTAGCTTATCAACAATGTTTGGCCTACTCTCATTTTTAACTATGTTTTTTATTTTTAAACAGTATTCAAGCATATTAAAGAATAAATCTACAAATGAAAAGGAAACGTCATTTGAATCATTTAATGATTTACATAACCTGTCAAAATCAAGTGATTTGTCTTTGATTAACAATTCAATTAATCAAGTCGAATGCTGTCATACAAATAATAATTACCTGTAAGTACTTGAAATTTAGTTATTTTATGAGGTTTTATTTTAAAACTATCGATTAAAATTGTAATTAACTGTCAATTGCATTTTACAGCTCTTCAAATTACTCTTCTGATATGTCAAAATCAAGAGATTTTTCAAGAAGCAGTTTAGCTGCTGTAAATGCCCTCTCCGATTCAGAAAATGAAGAGAGCGTATCGAAAGGTTTGTTTTAATATTTTTTTATTGTTAACATATTTATTGTGCAGATAAATATCTGTTTTAAATATAACAATTTGTCAAAAAATGTAGGGAATTATAAAAATTTGTCGCAATTACTCAGTGGTTAAGGCACTTAGCTGTCACTGTGGGGTTTGATCCCCACTGGTGACTTGAAGCTCACCCAACTTCATGTCAATGGGTAGCAGCTTGTCTGGGAAGTAAAGGCGGCCTGTGCACAGTGCTGACCACATTGCTACAATCGTCGTGCAGACCCTTAACCTCCATGACCCACTGACCTACAATGGGCAGTTGCAGGAATGCTTTTTATTAAATAACTTTGTCAGCATATGACTGTGTAGAACATGCTATTCCCAAAATAAACTTTTTGAAAGCCAAAATAAGGTGTGTGCTCAATCATGAAATGGAAAATTCAGCTTTTAAGGATATCATAATAGTACTTTAAAATATTTAATTTTTTAATACATATTTTTTCTCATCAAAATGGGATCCTATTAGTAGAAAACCTAGGAAATAAGATGTCCCATACATATTATGGTGTTTTCTTCCCTATTTCCGTTGTCACCAGAACATGTTCAACTGAAATAAATCTGTTTCAATGAGGAGAAGAAAATAGTATTAATATTTGAACATTTCTGAATTCTGTTACAGTTTAACACTGCTCATAAGCACATAACTTAGAGCACCCTTAAACAAAATTTTATTAGATTCCTTCAAGCAGTGTGATTGCTCGGGGCTCACATATTGGCAGAACTGCTGGAAGATAGACCTGTATATTTTAAAGGAGATTTTGTAGAAGTTTGCTTTTTCCAAAATGCTCTAGTGATCTTTTTCCTTTCTTAAATTTCCCCCCTATCAGATTCAGTTTATAGCACTATTTTGTCTGCATATTGAGAAGAATGCAATATGTTACGTATTTTGAGTGCAATTGTGGCTTTATCTGATGTTTGGTATAAGCCAATGCGGCTTAAAAGCCAATCCTGACTTATTTACCATTGAACTCTACTTTCAACTCATTTTAAATGGAAATAATTTGCCATTTGATGATATTTTGTATTGACAGAAAGTGTATGAATTTGGATTTTCATTTCTTTAACAATTTGTGTCGATATAATTTTTTTTTTAATTATTAGAAAAGGATTTCACAACATTTTCAGTGCAAAATATCTAACAAATATTGTTGAGTTATAAGAATATGAAATAGAGGAAACTTAATATTTTATTTATATTCTGTGTATATTCATAATAAAATTATTTATGTGTAATAATTTAAATAATACTTACATAATCATTATGACTAAGACAAGAAAGAAGTAGAAATGTAAATACATTTCACTAGTGGGTTTATAAGACTTTGATAATCTAATAGGGGAAGAAAAATTCAAAGATTGATATTGTGAAGGGGTTCCCAATATAGCTACATTTTACTCATTTGTCACAAAACTGTAATGAATGATAATTGTTTTCCTAAATGAATGTTAACTTTATTTTTGTATTACGAATTGAAAGATATGATTGAAGTAATAAGTGAAATTTAGTATTTACGCGTACTTAACTAAAAATTACAGTTGAATTGGACAGCAAAAAAAAATTTTTTTAATCTATTTATTTAGTTTTGTATACGAGGTTTGCTTGAGCAAAACATATTTTATACTTTTGATGGAATTCTTTTTTTTTTATTTCAACAAATAAAAAATAAATTTTCCTCAAGTGATTATGCTACATAAAAATGTTTTTATTGATAAATGTTTTTTTTTCTTCTTCTGTATTAAAGAGTTTTAATTCTTATTAGGTACTACGAAGAAAAGAATGTCTAGAAAATCTTTCTCGTCCAAGTCACAGTTTTCTACTGGTAAAACAGAATCTCTTACCTCCAATAATCATTCAAATCATAATTCTCTGTCTATTTCGGTGTCTGTAAATAATGCAGGACATGCTACGTGTGAAACAACCCTGCAAAAATCCTATGCAACTGACTCTAATTCTAACTACCAAACACCTACCAGCAGTATTTTGTACAGGTCCAGTATCAACCATTTTCAAGGTATTATCTTTTGTCCGAATCAGTTGCCTTTTCTCTCTTTGATTGTTAATGTTTTTTGTTTATTTTTGAATAATGAATAGAGATCTATTTAAAGAATTCTACTGTGTTTTTCTAAATGAAAATAAATCATTTAAGTGATTTTATTAATTAACTTATATTTTTATTTTTCTATTATTTTATAATACATTGTTAGAACTATGTCTAAAATTGTAATATAATAACTATGTGAAAATTAATGTGTGTAGTGTTGATAACATAAGTCTGTTTCTAAGAACATTTGCTGATAGCATGTTCCAAAACTTAATTTTCATCCCATTTGCTTGAAAATTAATTACTATGCTTGTACGCAGAAATGTTTGAAACAATAAATATTTGTAAGAATGTCACTACATGTTGTGTTCGGAGACAAAAGAACTCAAGAAGGAAGTTCTTTTTATGAAAAAATACAAAGTGTATTATCAACACTGACGTTCTTATTGTTAGTTAGGATGCAACGAATAGTGATTTGACGGAATACCGAATTTTCGGCCATATATATCGATGGAATTCCGAATAAGCAGCTGCTAAATAGTAGCTTCTTTTCTTTTTTAAAGAACAAAAAAATCATTAATAAATATTATTTTTTATATATAAATTAATTTAGTTATTATTGATAATAATCAAACTTATTATTGGTATGAGGTCAAGGAAAAAAACTTTTAATAAAAATGTTTAAGAGAATAAAGGTGATCAGATATTAGAATAATTAGAAATGTTTAAAATAAATAAAATAAAAATTACAAATAGCTGTTTAAAAAAAACTGAAGTCGAAAAAAAAAAAACTAGAAATAAAATAAAATAAAAAATCGTTTTAATTCTTTAAACAAAATTTTACGACAAAAAATACTATTTTCCGGGAAAAAAATTATCCATAAAATGTTAAAAGAGATTATGTCTGTCAGAAACATTTTTAAAATTAATGTGCTATCATCAAAACATTCATAAAAAGATTATATAAAAACGCAAAATAAACAGAAAAAATAAAAATCTATCTTAATTTTTGTGAGAAAATTTTAAAGCTAAACATTTCAGTTTTCCAATTACCATATTTTCAAGAAAAAGAGAAGTGTAAAGTGTAATACAAATGCTTTTAATGAACACGTCATGACAAAAATGTCCCTAAAAACAAAAGTTTTTAAAAAAGAAAAAGCTAGATAGAAACCAACACAAAAAGCATTCTAAATTTTAAATGAAAGATTTAAAGTTAAAAACCTCATTTTAACTTTTTGCATAGCTGTATTTTTAAAAGAAAGGGAAATTAAAATAAGAGTTTTCATTACAAACTCTTTAAAAAATGTTGTCATAATAAAAATGCTTATAAAAAGAAAAGTTGATAAAAAAAGCAAATGAGAAACAAACAAAAGAATGTTCTCAGTTCTGAAATATAATTTTAACATTTGCAATCACAGTTTTCTAACTTACCGGTAATCCATCGTACCATATTAGAAAAAAGTGGCAATAAAAGAATGAAGTCTATTAAAAATGCTCCATTAAAATGCTGCGCTATAATTAATACATAAAAGTAAGCAAAGATAAAACAAGAAAAGTTCTCAATTTTTAAAGTATAAAGTGTTGGGAAAAAAAAGCTGGCTTGCTGAATGTAATTAAAAAACAATCAGCATTACAAAACTCGTGGTTCAGTATAAAGTAATCAAGTTTCAATTCTTCAAATTTCAATTTCTTTCAGTACATAGATTTACATGTTTTAGAACTTAACAAATATGAGTAAAAACAATTTCTAATAATGTATAGTGAACAACATGATATTAGATTATTCTTTATATAAATTTATTCAAATTTCCACAAAAAAAAACTGTCAGAAAATTCTTTTCCAAATAATACTTTGCCGCCAGTGGACGAATAATCTTTAGGCATGAATCATCCATTTTCAGCAAACTCTAGTCACTCAGAATTGACCACTCCCTATTTTAACTCCTGCCTTATATGGTCTTCTCTCAGCTTGAATTGTGATGGTGGAGGAGAATTTCTCTTTAAAGTGCCTCAAATCCATCCTACTATTATTGTACTTAAAAATGCTGTCTAACTGATGTTTTTTTCTTCTTCATGATATTAATGAACTATTTTAACATTACATAGATTAAGAATGATCCTGAACTGCATCATTGAAATGACATATAAATAAGAAACATATAAACGGTGCTGTACTGTATTATAAAAGACTAGCTGAATACTCATTAGGGTAAAAAATAAGCATGAGTAAATCAGTAACTGACTACAATTACTATATTGTTTACATAACTGTAAGACAGATACCAACACAAATAACAAAACTATAATAATTCCAATATTTATTTATTTATTATTATTTGTTGCCTTTCTTCGTGACTTTACATTATTAGATTAAGCAAAACACATATTTAAAAGTTTATCCCATCAAAACAAAGATTAATTGTATTCAGTATCATCTGACATAAAGTTATAGCAAGAGGCAACTTGTTATTTTTAAACTTAACAGCAGTCAAGCTACTTTCTCATTTAATTATATCTTTGAGGTGCCATAAAAATCTATCATGAAAAATGCACAGTATTGGCGCAGCTGTAATCAGCATGCACAGGGTATTTTTAAAAAGTGCTTATTTTTTATTTACATTTTTTAAAAGCCCCTTAAAGGTGATTTTTTTTTTTTTTTTATTCGGGGTTTGTAAAAAGTGCTTAATTTTAAAAAGAAATTTTTTCATTATCGTATTGATTGTTGTTCTAAAGTTATATCATGATTGTGTAAATGATGGAGGGAAAATGATTATTATTACTGCACAGATTCTAGTTATGATTTTTTTTTAAAAGGCGATTTAAAATATTTTTTGAGTACTTTGCTTAAAAGGGGTGGTTATTATTATTATTATTTTTTTTTTTTTGAAAAATCTGGCTGCACACCCTGCAGCATAAAATTTACTCATAAAATACTTTGTACCTGTATCAGAGTATATTTGGTTATTATTAAAACTGCATCAATTATCATTATGCCAGTTGTGTCATTTCTATTATCAAAATTAAGTATCATTGGTGTCAATAATAGTTTGGCAACTTTTTATGGTGTCCCATAACGAATAGGTAATTTTCTCCATTAATTTTCTCTTAAGTTCATAGCTTATTTTTATTTCTATTAGTAAGGATTTCCAAAATTAATTAAGCATCATTGATATGATTGTCAATAATAGTTTACGAATTTTTTACATTGTCATAAACGACTTAATAATATTTCTCTATTAATTTTGCCTTTCAGTTTATAGCTTATTAACTATGTACTAAAAGGCAAATGCATTTTATGTAATTTTATTGTAATTGAACTTCATTTAGTAACTGTTACCAAAATTAATTGGCATCAATAATGTTTTTTTTTTTATGTTTGAATGAAGGAATTAGTACTCTTTATAAATTAATTTTGCTTTTCAGTATGAAATGTATTTTTTTATTTCAGATACCGTTTATTTTAAATGATTTAGTTTTATAGTAAAATCTTTTAAAAGCATAACTAAAAATAAAATGAACTCCTGGTTTTGGATTGCCTTAGGAATACTGATTTGGTAACATAGTCCGTCTATGCTATCATGATGACGATCATTCACATAATGCAGCATAACAAGTAAAAGTAATTAAGTGTAACAGAATGTGCAATAAGCAACTTTTTAGATTAGAGCTATAAGCTAGCAAATTTAACTGATATATTTAAAATATCGTCTTTAAAATATTTGACGAAACTGAATCGTCCATAATTTCTTTTAAAACAATCTTTTCCGCTCCACGAAACCAATGAGAAAATTTCATTTTTTAAATTTCTTTTCGTTAAAAATATAATAAATTGAAAATTGGCTTCATAATTTGTTTACAACTGTACTCATTTAGCTTCAGGTTGAATGTCCTATTTTTACTGTCTTTGGCGTACAGACACACACAAATTCTTTATTTTATTATATGTATGATAATTTTCTAAAACAATAGTTTTATATACTGTTTAAATAGACTCTTAACCAATGAGAAGAAAGCATGCCAAATAAACATTATTCCAAACTATGTTTGCAATGCTACTTAAATACCTCATTGGTTACATAATTCTTATTTACTCTTTAATATGTACTAAAATTTTTTGCAGGATCTGATGTGTCTTCTGCTACAAGCAGTCCATCATCTCCAGCTGTGATTGATATTTCAAATGCCCAGCGTAAGTATAATTCTTTTTCATGATTTGTTTATTTTATTTTTTTAGTGAGGTTGTAAAAAAAAATATTTAGAATAATTATCATAATTTGCATAGTTTATTTTTAGAAATATTATTTATACAGTCGAACCCCGCTATAGTGAACCATCTGCGGACTCAGTAATGTGTCCACTTTAACCGATGGTTCACTATATCCAAATTTTTTAAAGAGTATTTTTTGCATAAGACAGTTGAATGATTGAAAATCGGGTTTGCAATTTTTCATAAGTTATTTAAAAAATTATTAACTAATTAACCGATAATAAAGCAAAAATTTATGAAAAAAGTACTTACGTCGCTAAATACTAGTTTTAATTTTATTTTTTATGAAAACAATTTGTGATTTTTGATTGAACACAATTTGATTTTAAATAGAGTTCATCAATTTTCTTATCTACAATGTGCAAAGAATGCAAGATTTTTTCATTTAAATTNGATAATAAAGCAAAAATTAATGAAAAAAGTACTTACGTTGCTAAATACTAGTTTTAATTTTATTTTTTATGAAAACAATTTGTGATTTTTGATTGAACACAATTTGATTTTAAATAGAGTTCATCAATTTTCTTATCTACAATGTGCAAAGAATGCAAGATTTTTTGATCTAAATTTTCTGTAGAAAAAAACATATTAAGGACATTTATGGCTGATTTTACTTCAGCTATAGATGGTGCTGAAAGTTCATTTTCTTCTTCAACATTTTCTTCTAATAAGTCTTCTCTACTTTCGTTCGTTTGTTTTATTTCACTGACAATGTCATCATCGGTAGGAGTACCAGAAGTGCATACTTCTTCATCGCAACATTCATATTGCTCAATAACGTCCTTAGGGAAAATGTCCATTCCATGTCTTTTTAGCCATAGAGAGATAGGTAAATTTTCTTCCTCATCATCCTCCTCCACATTGGAAACTTTTCCTTCTAAATCTTTTGAAAGACCTGCATGTCGGAAACAGTTGCAGATCGTAGCTGATGTTACTTGTCTCCATGATTTTTCTAGCAAAACTATTGCTTCTAGAAGAGAGATGTTACATTCTGAGTCCATGTTTTTATCATAGTTATCTAAAATATGCATAACTAATTGTTTCCTATAGTGAGACTTCAGACTGCGAATGACACCCTGGTCCATGGATTGCAACACAGAAGTCATATTTGGTGGTAAAAATACGAGCTTAATACACTTTAGACTTTTTAAATGGGGGTGAGCTGTGCAATTGTCTAGAAGAAGAACAGTTTTACGATTTACTTTTAATAAATCACTGTCCCACTGTCGAAGTTCTTCTTCAAAAAAATGGGAGGTCATCCACGCTTTTTGATTAGCTTTGTAGTTTACGGGCAGTTTTTTAACATTTTTAAAGCACCTTGGTTTTTGAGATTTATCTATGACAGTTAGTTTTCGCTTTTCTGAGCCGTTCATGTTAGCACAAACAAGAACTGTTATTCTCACTTTAAAAAGTTTCCCACTGGTGCACTTTTCTCCTTTAAATTTCAACGTCTGATTGGGAATCAATTTGTAAAATAGTCCAGCTTCGTCAACATTAAAAATGTCTTTCTCTTCATAATTCTGTATAATATTCGGCCACACTTCAGTTTTCCACTTTTCCACATCTGTTGCACCAACACTTGCTTCTTCTCCGATAATCCTTCCTGAAGAAATATTATTCCGTTTTTTGAATCTATCCAGCCATCCATTGGAGCACACAAAATCCTTTTCCTCTAATATTTCAGCAAACTCATTCGCTTTGATTTGAAGCATAGGTCCTGTCACAGGAAGATTTCTATTCCGCTGAGTGGTGAACCATTTTAGCAAAGCTTCGTCTACGTTTTCTCTTTCAGCTCCACGCAGTTTTTTCGATGAAACCATATTTTTGTCGTATGCGGCAAGAATTGCACTTTGATTTTTCCAAATGTTTGAAACTGTAGATTTTGATAAGGAAAATTCCTTACAGAGTGCCGATTGATTTGTTCCATCTTCAATACGCTTTAAAATTTTAACTTTGTCTTCTATCGGAAACGCTTTTCTCTTTAGAGAATTTGCCATTTTCACTGCTTTCGAAATAAAAATCTTCTCTCAAATTGATTATGTACGAATATGAAGAGAGCAGCTGTAGAATGAGTTAAATTGCTGCCCTTCTTGATTGTTAAGGGGTGATTTGTAAAGAATATGGTTTGAACAGATAAGAAAATTCCAAAAATTCAGCAGGGAAAATCGACAAAGAGAGGCTTGTCAGGGAGGGGGGAGTATAAGATAAATGTTCTGTTTGACATTTATTACAGTATAGTTAAAAGTGATAAGCATAAAGGAGTGAAATATGACTCACTGTATAGGAATGCATTCATTTTTAGTCCCAACACCTGCAGGTTTAAAGATGGAGGACTGAAAAAGATATTTAAACAAATGAAATTTGAGTCCACTATAACCGAGTTTCCAAGTTCTAAGCTGTTCACTATAAGCGTTAAAAATAACATTATTTAAATAGGAGTACCGACGGGACCGCTAAAAAAGTTCACTACATCCGAGTGTTCTCTATATCCCAGGTTCACTATAGCGGGGTTCGACTGTAGATGATTAAATAAGATTTAAATACTATCGAATTCAGATTCTCTGAAAAATTTTAGAGGATTTAGTATATTTTTATTAACTATAATCTCTAATGCGGAGTATCTTTGTATAGCCGAGATAATAATAATTAGTAATTAAATTTTAGCATTTATTACTATCAAATCTGGAAGAAACTCACGCAAATTAAATTTATTTTTTATTTAATTTGCATTACGGATAATTTGCAAACGGAGTATCTTTGTATAGCCGAGATAATAATAATTAGTAATTAAATTTTAGCATTTATTACTATCAAATCTGGAAGAAACTCACACAAATTAAATTTATTTTTTATTTAATTTGCATTACAAATTAATATTATTAGCAAGTTTATTTTAATTAATAATAATTAATCATTGATTCATCTATAAAGTGAGATTATTTTTTATAATTTTATCGCTTCATTATTTTTAAATACATGTAGAAAAACAGCATTTTATTTTAATTTACATAAAAACGTGAAATACACCTTTTTCTTTCCTTAAAAATTTCACCCTTGTTCATTTTTGTATCTTTTGCATCATTCAACTGCAATATATAAAATTAAATTAAACTTGAATACAAAATTAAACGAAAATTAATCAAAAGTTTCTGCTGTTGACTTTCAAATTGCAGAATTAAATAAAAAATTACAGTTTCCAGTGTTGGCTGGATAAAGACGAAATGCAATTATTATTATTTTTTTATTATTATTTCTCGTTCTTATTATGCATTTCTATTGTCTTTAATACCATTTTTTCTCTGTATTGTGGTGTGATATTTTTTTTAAATTCAAATAAAATATACAATAAAATGTAAAAATTAAAAAAAATTGTGGTTTACTTACTGTACTGTACATACTGTAATATTAGACTTGAATTTTTTTTAAATATATCTGGAAAAGTCAAGCAGTGTTATTCTTTTGTTTGACCGATGTCAATGTATTTTAAAACTCATTTTTCTGAGAATGTCATTAAGAACATTTTGATAGTTTAATAATTTTTTTTCTATAAAATTGTACTTAGCAAAACATACACAAAATTCTAGCTTTTCATATTTAAAGAAAAAAAACTGAAAATTTGTTGAAAGTTGCAAAATTATAAACTTGTTTGTATGAATTGTAAATTTTATTAGGAAAGAAAAATGCAATACCGTAGGTTTATTAAGCATCAAAAAAATTGGAAAATCAATAAAAAAAATAAATTGAAGGTATAAGGTGCAGGTCAGAGTCAGTCCCGTAAAAATTTTATTGGTTTAATAGATTATTTGTAATTGCTATTACAACTCATCATAATTTCTACTGCTAGTAATCCAAAATATATTGGTTGCTTGTAATCATGAATTCTTTCACCTATGAATTAATCTAAGATTTGCTAGAATTCCAGCATTTGATTATAATCATACTTTAGATTATAATCATACCTACTCTTTTGTTGTAGTGTTATATTTTACTGTTTTATCAAGTAGCTTTTTTAATTATTTAGTAATCATATTTTTTATCTTGTAGATACTCTTATTGATAGATTTAGATGGCTTCTATGGCGTAGTATTTATATGAAAATCATTAAATGTGTCAACTTTGATGTTTGGCTTTTATCCAGGTACTTATTCCCATTCAGGTAACATTTATTATAATATAATTATTAACTTACTATTAAAAATATGCTAAGTAAAATTCAAAGTTAAGGGTGAACCAAAAAAAATAAAAAATTTGGGATTGATTTTGATAAGCTTTCTTTTCATTACAAAACAGTTTTAAGTTTAAAACTTTTTTCTGCATAATGTTCATATTAGAGAAATTCTAATCCTCTTTTCTATAAGAACTATGTTTAAATTAGGATTCAAATTATGCAAATGCTGTTTTTGCTACATAATTTTAAACCCAGAAAGTGTCAGTATATATATTTTTTGAAAGCTTTCTTTTTTATTAAATTTAAATCTAGAGACAATTTTAATACACAACAACTGAATTATAAGTCACACAACATTTGAAAGATATCATAGGATGATACATTTGAAAATAAGAGTTTTCCTTTGTCACACAACCAGCCTAAAATTATTCTTGATAAGAAACCTCAGTAGATATGCATTGTATTTGCTGAGTGTCTGATCAACTATATTTGTTTATCTTATGAAAATTTCTTCTAAATACAATATCAAATATTACTTACAGCTAACTACACTAAATTTAATAAACACTATTAATTAATGTATTTTACAAAGACAATACTTAAAATTTCTCATGGGTTTTCATTGAGCAATATTAAAATTCACATTGAGAAAATTCAACTTCATTTTTTCAAATCAATATCCTATGGAAAATTATAAAAGAGAAAAAAAAAATCATTCAAGATTTTGCCATTAAAGTGCTTTAAATAAGCAAATTTTTGTTACGAACAAAATCTTTTTATTTTTGAACTTCAACCTTCATAAGTTCTACTTTTTGAGGTTAAAGTTACGTTTGTGACCACGGTTACGGTTGTGAATATTTCCAACTCTAATTAAATATAGTAATGTTTGCAATGAAAGTGCATTATATATATAGCAGTGAATGATGAATACTTTTTTGCCATTTAACTTCTATGTTAGATTTTCTGTTGTTCAAAAAAATTTAGATTAAATTAAGAATAAAATATTTAAAAAAAAATCTAACTTTTAATAACTAAGACTTTAAACTGTTTCTTTATATATAATCTTTAATTTTAGAAGTAGTCTTTTCAAAATAATATAATAACTCTTTTCAAAAGGAAAGAAATGCCCGATTTTTTTCCTACCATTCAGGCTGTTTCTTCTGGTATTCATAGATGTTGCACTTAGATGATAGAACATATATGAAGTCCTTTTTTATTAAAAAATTAAAAAGAATTCATTCTCGTGGCTTGATGTTCAAGCAATATTTTCAAAAATTGTTTCAATTGTAAAGAGTGTCATAGTACATTTTTTGGGACTGTGAATTGTAAAATTAAAAGTTGCTTTTAGTATTCAAAATCGAACAGATTATATTTTAAGGCTAATGTGTTTAATATTTTATAGGTCGTTTAATAGAAAAGTTCTTGCTTTATTACTGCTGATACCTTTCTTGATATACCTCTTCTCTGGTAAGCTTTTAATAAAAATTTGATTAAAATACTTCAAGTGTAGAAAGCTTTACTTCAATACAACAACATTGTTACAAATGTTGGAAATTAGAACGTTGTAACTGGTAACTTTTGTAGCTGAAATAAAGCTTTATATGCATATGTGAGGAAACTCATATGAACTTTTTATGAGTAATGTTTTTACATCATAGGATATTTTTATGAATAGTAATATTTTTGCAGGAAAGTCACCAACTTTAGAAAAAGTAATTTTTTCAAATTCCCTATATTCCATTCCTTTAACTTGAAATTATCTGTTTTAAAATTGTCTTAATAATAATGTCCTGTAAAACATTTTTAAACATTTTTATACTTAATTTTTCTGAGATAATCCTGTCACTTTATTGCATTTAATATTCTATAATTTATATTTTTTCTTACTAAATGAATTTGTTGGAGATTGACTTTGTATTTAATATTGATTTATTTTTTTATATTTTTTAAAATTTTTATACTAATTTAAGGTATAAAAACTGCTTTAAAATTGTATTCTGGGTTTAAATTTTTAAAATCTTCATCTAACATATCATCTGTTGTAAAATTAGTTAACAAAAAGTTTTGTTTCTCTTACAGGAATAGATTCTAAAGAATTTTCTGTCGCTGAGGAATTTATTTCAAAGACCTCTGATTTTTCTTCATACATTTATTCCATCATTTCTAGTCCATTCACGAAACAAGTGAGTACATCCAATAATAAATGCTTTTAAAAAAAGTTTTATTAACATAAAAATTAGGCATAAATAGTTTTCTAACTTTCAATCAAATATTGTTTATTCTTGTAAAGTATATTGTAAATGCTTGATAAATCTGATTTTGTGACCCATGCAAGAATTCCTGCAGTCAGGTCGGCAAAAAAGATTGATATTTAAGGTAAAAATAAAGGGTACAAAATTTGTCCAAGTATAAGTATAGTTCAATTAATATTGATCGCATAAAAAATTTACAGTGTGACACACTTTTTAATGTTTGTCGATCTAATTATTATACTGTTTGTTATTTTAAATTTTTTTGAATTAGGAATTATTTTCAATTGTTCAGTTTTCTGTATAAACACACATTTAATTATTTAAAAATCTGGGTTTGTGATTTCTCATATATTTTCTTAAAGTAAATGGCACAATATTTTCTATTTATGTTATGATAATCAAGGCAGACTGAATGCATGTCTGTGTGTAAAACATGTGACTTATTTTTAACATAAAAAAAATTTCCTTGGCCTTGGTGCAGAATTATAAATAGATTTCTAAAGGCATATTATTATTAATTGTGAGTTTAGACTATTTATTTCTAAAACTTTTGTATTCAGTTTTAGAAAAATACAGTAAAACCAGTGTATTCATATATATATGGCCACTTACAGTCATCTTTGACAAGTAGTCAACTAATAGTCAAAAGACAGGTAGTCAAATTTTGTAAATTCAAAACAGCATCTCCCAAATTTTTTGATAACACTAAAACTCTTCCCCTTAAAATTTCTTTTATTCTAAATGTTTAAAAAAGCCTTGTATATGATTTTTTTCTGCTGTTTCCTTGATAACTTTAATTTTTTTTTACAAATATTATGAAAAATATTTTCAAAATAGAATTTTTTCTCTCCATAAAAAAGAATTTTTGAAACAAAAATATGCAAAACGAGGCTAAGAAAACACTGTATAAACTGTAAAATGAAAGGCAACATAATGAAAATTAAATTTTTCTATTGACCCAACGAATAAAAAGTAAATAATTGAATTCTATTTTATTGCTTCCTCATCAGTTTTCAGTCACTTGCAATGTTTATGCTATGATCACCCATCTTTCTGTTTATCTCTTTATACTCCCAGATTTTAAAGAGACTGGTTAGTCTTTAATTAAACAAGAAGATTTGAAGCAAGAAGTAGAATTTTTTTAATCTTAACTTGTTAATGCATGCTTTACCAACGTGTGCATTCATGCTTTAGCTATCTGTCTTTAAGGTATCTAATATCACTTATGAAAAAATTAAAAAATTCATTTTAAAACAGCATTTTGAGTTAATAAAGTTATCTGCATGTCATCTGACAATCATCATCCAATGACAAACAAGTGAAAATTGAATGCATTTACTATTTATTATAACAAAGTGAAGTGAAGAAGCAAATTATGGTATAAAGACGAAAAAAGAAATTGCAAACAGTTCAGGATTCTAAGTTGTTATGCATTTTATGGATAGCTCAAAAGGCTTTTGATTAGTTTTGTGAAATGATTTGAGTATGCTTTAAAAAAAATTCTTATACTTTGAACTTTTAGTAGTTTATGTGCTTTATGATTTACTTTAGTTTATTTTATTTGTAGTTGCCTTTTTTAAAAACTGGTATATTTTTTTATACAGAAAAGCACTGTCATTGAATTTTCATCAGGAGAATCATCAACTAGTGTTTATAATGTTTTAACTACTATTGCTGTTGCACCTTGGTACTTCTTGATCTCATTATATTCCAATTTCAAAAGTGTTCTGAATAACAACAGTAGCGAAGATCTGAAGTTAATAGCACTAGAAATTAGAAGGCTTAAAGATGATGTCACAAAAATGAAGGATTCTCATTTCAAAACTGTTCCTCCGGTATGCAGTATTTTTATTTGTAATTATTATTAGGCTTGTATAATTTATTTTCTCATTAAATAAATAAAATATTTTTGCTGTTGGTGATTACTATGGCACTCATAATAAACTAATATTTATGTATCAATAATATTTTATTAATTTAATAAAATAGGCATAGTAATAAAGTGAATGATTGATTTCCAAATGTTTCATCTAGAAATATGAAATGCTAAAAACTTAATTATGTGAAGATTGAAAAAAAAAATCTAATGATTTCAGACAGATTTCATTTATTTATTTAAACTTATGTAATTTTGTGTTCTGATTTCTTCTAAATATGTCTGTCTTTGACAAAAATATTACATTTTTAGGATGACAGTGCGGAAAAAATACTAGTCTCTGATATTACTAGTCTTCGTCTTGAATTTCAAGTAAGCTCTATTCTGATATCCTTGTTTGCAATTAAATTAATTATTTTCGTATGGTATTCTGCCGGATTATTTTTCAATTCTATTATATATGCATGTATTTCTCAGTGTTAAATTTAATATACTTCATTACTTTTTCATTCTTACATATAGTTAAAGTGTCATTTTGCATTCTAATTTATTTTATTTGGAAAGCCATTTGGTTCTCTTTTGCAAAATTTTAGACATTTTATGGGCAAGCTAAGTTGTTTGAAATGCCAAATTAAGTTAAGAAATAAGGTATTGTTAAACAATTTGAAATATTTTTGGAAAAATATTTTAAAAAATCACTTGACGCTTTTAAGTTAATTGGATCTGAAATTACATGTACTAATTTCATTGTATTTGCTATTATAAAAGTTACTAATCATTCTGTTTTTTATGTGATTAAAAAATGAATTCCTTTTTAGTCTCTTACAGAATCTGTTAAGAAGTTAGAAAAAGAGGTTTCTCTCAAATCTGAAGGGTTAGTTATTTTATTTAATGCAAAATTAGTACTAAATATTGTTATTTGTACTCCAATACTCTAATGTAACTCAAATTTATCATGATTGTTTTAAACTTTTCCTTTTAAAATTTAAATCTGATTTACTACTATTGGCAAATAAATTTTTTTTGTTTTATTTATTTAAATATTAGTTTCTTTTTATGCTGTAGATCATAGGTGTTCTTAATCTGTGGTTCACAGACTCTTAAAGGGCTTCAAAGCAATTTTTATATTAATTAAGTATTGGTTTAAAAAAGAAAATATTGGTTAAAGTTGTTATACTTCTAACAGTTGGGTTCTTACATGGGAAAATAGTCAATAGCATTTTTGAACATTGTGATGAAATAAGATTATTTTTTAATAGATATTCAAGTTAAATTAAATGGATGATTTGACAATTTTTCCTGAATAGCCAAAGCTGCTTACTTATGACTGATGTCTTTACTTTAATTGAATTGACTAAATTTGAATTTACACAGGGCACATGGTAGTATATTTAAATGGAGGAAGTAGAAGCAATTGTAAAAAACTTAACTTATTATTGAAACAATTATATGTATGAGTCTTTCAACTCTCTACGATAATAAGGAAATTCAAATCTAAAGATTTTTTATGAAGCACATAAAATTTTTATTGCACATACACAGGGCTGATTGTGCTCCAGAAAAAATACGGATTTCCGGATTTTTTGCTAACAGTGATCCGGAAGTTTCCGGAGATCGAAGGTCCAGACGTTTCAAGAAATCATTGATCACAGAAGTTTCCGGAAATCAAATTTTCAAAGGTTGAACTTAAAAACAGTTTATTTTATTTGTTTGTAAGGGAGAGCCAGAACTTTATAAGCTTATATTCATGATTAATATTCTTTTTTTATCATTAAATAGTTGTTATAATCACAAACTCAAAAAAGAAAGACATATTTGTAAATTTTAATTACTTCTCCAGGACATCATAGGTATGTGTAAGTGGTATAGGTATGTGTAAAATGTTAAATATATTTTAAGTAAACTAAGAAATATTGAGAAAAAGGAAAAAAATCCTGGTTTAATTTTTTTTAAATTTTTCAATGTAAACTGTTTTTTTTTTTTTTTTTNAATTTTACCAACTCAAGAAATTTTCCGGAATTTTGACTTGGGCTCACAATCACCCCTGCATGCATTAAACTGCTCTAAAAATGCCTTAAGAATTATATTTCCCATTTAGATTGTAGGAAAAATGAATTCAGCATCTATTCAACAATGCTATTTAATACCATCGAACTAGATATTCTTGAATAATTATCTTATAATGTGTCTTTGAAATTACCATTCAGCTGAAATGGTTACTTCTCAAATCTGATTGCCTTGCACTTGCAGATGAAGTACTCCATTTGATTCCGTTTTGTGCTACTTAACTGCTCTTTCTTGTACTTTTTTATTATTGAAATACACTCAATATAGTAACATATTTTTTGAATAAAACTTTCTAACATAGTAGTTTTGATTTTAAAAAAAAATTTAAAAAAAGTCCACCCACCTTGATAAATAAAAATTATTTTTACCAAAAACTTTTATTACAGAGTAGCCACTCGTTCAAGAAACTAGAAAAAATTTAGGAAAATAAGGAAAATTTATCTGCTACTTTGTAAATTTTTGAAATATTAGCTTTGAATTTTGACATCGCTGCTTTCATTAAATTTTATTACAAATGTTTCAATCAAATATTAGCGCTTTTATGTAATCAATCTTATCTTTTAATTCATAGCTACTGGTACTTTCATAAATTTTTCCTGGCATCAATGCTGTCTTTTTAAAATTTGAATAATCTAATTAATCATTTCACTTCTCTTAAATCTCTTGAAACAAAAACATAATAGTTTTATTTATAACAAGTTCCTATGAATCTAAAGTCTCTGTTAAATATAAAAATTTTAGTCTTGAAATAATCAACAATTAGTTAAATATTCTAATAATTTTAATATAAGTTTTTTCTTTTTTGCATTTCTCTATGAATTTCTAACATAAATAAATTGTAAGTGAAACCTTGGTAAAGAGGAAAGGCAAAATGTCTATAAATGTACTAGATGGTTAATAAGTAGCAATATATTTTAATTTTTTTTTATTAAAGTAATACCAATAAGATAAATTAGCCAAAAATTGTATCAAAAATGCAAAATGCCTTAGGTATATGGAAAAAAATTCGTAAAATCTATTTGCTTAACAAACATGAAAGATATGTCGAAAATCAGGACATTAACAGGTCTTCCATTACTCTTCATCTACCGAATTTGTTTTTGGGAATCATTCTATACTTAGAAAAATTCTAATGCTTTAGTTTATGATCTTTCTAGTATCCCACCCTTTCCTAATTTATGAAAGTCTATTCTTATTGCACCTTGGGGTTCCTACAAAATCCCCTCATACTTGTCTCCTATCTCCTTTCATTATTATCTTGTTGAACTTGTGCTGCTATCCCTGTTAGTTTAAACCTGTTTCTCTCTTTACTTCTCTACTATCATTTGGTGTTTAGACACTGAGGAAGGTTCTTTTTTATGGAACCGAAACTATAGCCATTACCATAGCACCATTTCCAGAGTTGCTATCTTGCTCCGGACAGCGGATAAATATTTATGAGTGGGTAGTCTTTTAATGTATGATTCTTGGCTTAGTAAATTCAATTCATAGGGTTTTTACTCGCCATTATTTCTAAATGATACAAAGGCTTTCCTGATATGCCACTTTGTTACAGTTAAGTCGTGTTGAGCCTTTTAAAAAGTTGGCAATATTAACTGAAAACATGCACAGTTTGGTTTGTAGTTCTCTACTGTTTTTAAATATTTTGCTGAATCCAGAGCAGTTAGCATCTCTGCATTTCTGTACTTTCATTTCATTTCATTATGTACAAAGTATACCCTATCCTTTTTTGCACAAAATCTATTGTTTAAAATGAGCCATCAGGCTCAATAGCTTTAAGAATCCCTGTTGTAGAATATTTCTATTAATAGTAGGTGTATAAGTATTTGTAATTAGAGGCTCTTTTATCAGATGAAAACTAAACAGTGAGAGTTTCTACGGGTTAATTTTTTATTGATGAAAAGTGAGTCAATTTTGTGAAATATTCTATGCTCATTGCTTTTTTTTCTTTCCTTTAGACCTTCAAAGCATACCAGTACTGTAGAAGATCACAATGCTCATATCATACATATTAATACAAAAATGAAGTCACTTGAAGATCAACTTTCAGATTTGAGAATTGCCTTAAAGAATTGCTGCGATGAAAAATGGACCTTATCGGACTTTACACCATCTTTTGAAAAACATTTTCTGCAGGCATTAAAAACTGTAAGACTTCTGATTTCTTTAACTGAACATAATATATGTTTTGCACATTAATAGTTCGATGTTTATGATTATTCTCAAAAGACTATTTTAAAAACTAAATGTAATTTCTTATATTGTTGATTTGTCCCGCAGTAGACTGATTGTAAAGACACGGTTCACAGTAGAATACCTAAGTCAGGCATCACTGGCTGCGATCAGTAAGCGGGTGGGTGATCACTTTGATCAGCCTGCGTAGGGACGGAAGGTGCGCGGTATTGGTCCTCGTTAATACCTACTTACCAACTTATATTGTTGATTGAATATTTAATTTTAGTTGTAATTTCTTGTTAATGTTATTTTTTGCTGGCAATGATTTTCAAATTGCATTAAACTCTTACTTTCGTAAAAATTACTTCTGTAAACAATGTCTGCAATACAAACTTATGTGTACTGCTTCACATACTTATGTGTCATATTATTGCAAGCATAATATTCCATACTAATCATATCATTATTTCTAAAATAATGACCTAGAAAAATAAAAATGTTCTGGATTAACTGTCAAAATTTGATTAAAATTGTAGCTTTTCTAAGGGATCTTTTAGAGTGAGAAACATTTTGAATTTCATAATTTTTTTTATTTATTTTGAAAAAATGTACAGTACTTTTATCAATTTGAATGGTTATTCAAATTTCTGTTTTTAAATTGCAAATAACTAGCATTGATTTAAATATCTAAGCAATTCATATAACATGAATTCTTTTTTTTTTCTCTCTTTTTAAAAAAATATTATTGTTAAAAGCTTGAATCTTATACAAAAAAATTACTAAATTAAATTATGTTAAGAGCAACCTACACTTTTGAAATTTTAAGAAGGATTAGAAAATGCTGGTATTGTTTGAGGAGAAGGTTGTCAGTATAAAATTCTAATACTATTTTGTCATTATTATTATTTATTTATTAAATTTTACTTTTTCTAACTTAGGTATTTCAAATTATTTGTGTTTTCATATTTAGGTTAACAGAACTTGAGATATTTAATGAATCAGTTCAACTTAACTGTTATAATAAACCCAAATTAACTAAAAAGACAGTTTATATGTTTCTTTTACTTATTTAATCCTATTCATAGCAAAATTTTTGTAATGTTCTTTTTAAAATAAATAATTAATACAAATTTGTGATCTATCCCCAGTATTTTAATACTTATTAAATTTGATTCAATTCTGTATTTGGAAAGGAAATTCAGTTAAAAATTATGCAATGTTCGTTATGTTTAAATAATATGTAAACCATCTTTTTTAAACCTAAGTTATATTACATAAAAATTTATTTGCTGATTTTGCTTATGTTTTTAATAAATTGATTCGAATAGTTTAACTAATTTTTCTTTGCTTATTTTAAAAGCAATATTTTTCTTACTATTTTAATAGATGGTGGAAAGAGACAAAGACAAAACATCTCCATACTACTTCTTTAATGAGTGGCTTCGGGCTCAAATGAGTGATGATAAAAGAATATTATCTCAATTAAAGTTAGAGCTTGAAAAAATGAAAGCAACAGGTGCAGAATATGATGCAGAAGTTGTTGAAAATCTTGTCACGAAACATATGGAATCCTTGAGAAAAGAGTTTATGTCATTGAATAAGGCTGAAAGCCTATCTGACGGAGCTTTCTCCCTGAATGTAGTGCAAAAGCTTATTAGAGAAGCTATAATGCTCTATGACGCCGATAAAACTGGAAAAGTTGATTATGCTTTGGAATCTGGAGGTAAGAAAATTTTTTTATATCAGAATATTATCCTGATATAAACATACCTGCCAAGTCACCTGTTTCTTTATAATGACTCCTGTATTTTAGGACTATATTCTGTTTACCTTATATTCTCATATTTGTTGAAGAAATTAAAAATATTTGAATATTTGGTAATCAGATATCCACTGATGGCAAAAATACTTTTCATATTCCTCAACAGATGATGCTATTGCCAGTACTACAATATATTGAGTGTTAATAGTTTAAGTCGAGCTGCGATAGCGTGGGGGATAGAGCATTCATCTTCCAATGAGGTGAACCCAGGTTCGAATCCCTTGGATGACTGGTCGATACGAATTCCGCATCTGGCTTGCACCGAACACAGCACTAATGTGATATATCATCAATGGTAGGCGGATCACGGGTTAGAGTCCCCTTGTCGTCAGGCTTACCGTGGGAGTGTTTTGTGGTTTTCTCCTCTACATGTAACTCAAATTTGCGTTAGTTCTATCAAAAAGTCCCCCATAAAGCAAATTTCTCCCAATACTTGATCCAGGAGTTCCTTTGCCTCCTGAATTGGGTTCAAAATTACAAGACTACGGAGTTGAACATCAGTAGTCATAAACCCAAAATTATGTTTGTTAGTAACATCTCCGTTATTTTATTTTTTCTATGTTGGCTGGTGTGTATAAAAAATTTATCAGGATAATATTCTGTTTTAAAATCAGGATCCTGATAAATGTACAGTAACATGGGAAATATAATTTACAAATTGAAGACATTTTTAATTTCTAAAGGATGAATTTTCATAATGCAGTTTAAAATAATATATCAGGAGAAAATGTTTCTGACACTCTTGTACGGTTATTTTTGCCTATTATTTGCTTTAATCTTTCCTTGTAAACAAAAAAGAATTTCCTTACGTTTTGTGTGCAAGAAAGCACATTTAAACAAATTTGTTGCTTTAATTTGTACATATTTTATACAAAAAGAGTATTACTGTATTATATTTGTCATTAAGTTTACATGATGATACTAAGAAAATAATTAATTGAAAAAATATTTAAACATGAGCATGTAAAAATAATATAGAACTTTACATTCGTTCTTATTATATAGTTGTCCCATTTCTATGATAGGTATATTAAATCTAATTAGGTATATTTTTTTGTAGTGTGATTCTTTAGCACATATTTATTTCAAACATTGGTTAAGCATGTGCTCAGAAAGTTAAGTTTTAATATGTGTGGTTAGTTGTAATATATTATGTTTAATATTTTTTTAATAAAAGTTTACTAGGAAATATTGTGAATTGTAAGCATAGAAGTCCAAAAGAGTCAGGAAAATGTTATTCAAAACTTGGCCCGGCACCGTAACTTACATTTTACAGCATAGTTACCAAGTCACTAATACTATTTATATTCGTTTTAAATGTCATAAAAACAACTAAAAAATTATTTCTAAGTGCTTATATGTTTTGTTAACAAAAACTTAAAAACATGAATGTGAATGAAGGAATGTGAAAGAATGCAAAATGTGAAAGAAGGAATAAAAATTTTTTAATAAATTTTTCACTTTAATCATAGAATCTGGAATCACTATAAAGAAAAATTTTAATTTTTTGAAAAGTTTCATTGTGTATAAATAAATAAAAAATATACTGAATGAATTACAAAATTTAATGTTCATTCATGTTTAATAAATATTTTGTACCTTAAATGAAGAAGCAAAAGTTGCTGAGGTAAATTGTTGTCTTGTAAAAGTTCTTGAAAGATTAATTGAAGCTTAATGTTAACATAAATGAAGTCCTTAATACACTTCTAAAATTAATTTCAAAATAAAGTTTAAAGTAATAATAATAAATAAATAAGTTTGGATTTTTACATCACATTAAATATTTATTTTGCATTAAATTTAACTATGATTCAAAAAAAGTAGTTTATTATTATAAAAGCTATTATTTATGTGTGTCAAATGTCATATGTTTTACTATTTTTTTTTAATTAATGTATTGTAAGCTTTTTTGTGCAAAAGTAAGCTTTCTACAATTGTAGTTGAGATTTTTTTGGAAGTGAAGAGTTAACCTTTGGATATCCTTTTATAGTTCTAGATCCATTAACAGAAATAATTTCAGAGCCGGTCTTAAACTTTTTGCCCAAAATCTCACACAGTTTAGCATAGTTATTTTCTTGCATAATTAACCAGTATTATTTCATGTGAAATGTTTATATGAAGGAGAAAATTTATACAAACTTTCCTCTGACTGTTACTTGATTGCTAAGATATGTGTTATTTTACTTTTTTGCTCAAATGCAACCGGGATTGCTTTGAACCTATATAATAGTGTTTTACTAATAAATATTCTGCATTAATTATGAAAAAAAATTAAAACAAAGGAAAATACGCATAGTTATAATGTTAAAGGGTTTAAGTTGTAGTCCATAATTAATGGTATGCTATTACTGATAGGAGGAAGTATATTGAGTACCAGGTGCTCTGAGAGTTATGCTGAAAAAGATGGTACAATAAGTGTCCTTGGTTTGCCACTTTGGTCAACTCATAGCTCACCTCGGACTGCCATTCAGGTATGGAATCTGTTATAGTATAATATCAGCATATTGTATGTTATATAATTATGAAATTTTGCAAATATTTTTTACTCATTATTCTAATAAATTAAATATATGTAATATGTTATCATTATTTTAAATTTCATATGAAATGTAGTATGGTTGTTATTGTATAGCTCTTTTATTAAAGTTTCATACTTATGTTAAATAAAAAAGAAAATAATTTTATCATACATACTGAAATGTTAAATTCAAAACTGCTTGTATAATCTGTGGAATATATATATATATTTA